TTTAGGATATGTGCAGCAATTCTTGGCAGCAAGTGGCTGCCAATCAGGAACACGAGTTTGTTCTCGGCCACCAAAAGCAAGTATTTTCAAGGCGAGCTATTGCTCGCCTATATGAGTTTCAGCATTCATCAAGGAGCGCAAAATCAAAGCCCGGGGGTTGGCCATTGCAAAAATGTTGACTCGGAAGCGCATAGGGAGGAAGCTTTATAAAAGTGTCCACCTGCTTCTACAAGACAAACCAAAACTAAGAATGTGGGTTCCATTTGAAAAGACAAAACATTATTGTCAGCCCGAATTAACTTGGGGGTGGCACTGAGCAAACAAGCCACGGTACGAGTATGCTTGGTTCAGGCGTTTGTAGGGGTGGTAGATGATTAAGTGTTTTCTAAAAAAAATTTTTTTTTTCTAAAGGTGTGGTGGTCGAATATTCAGGGATGGGCATTGAGTCGGGATGTTAAGGTAAAAATTTCATCCACATGCCGGGATTCATGTGCCTTGTCCCCCTAGCGAGGGGGACAAGGCCTTCAAAATTTTGGGTTCGCAAAAGGGGTGCATCAGTATTGACGTCTCATTTTACATCATTCATCTCAATTTAAAACGCGCTATAAATGACATGCCTGAGATTCGTTTGGGTGTACTTCCCCCCAGCAAGTATATGGTTCTGTCTCAAAAAGGTCTAATCTGATGTTGACCGCTCCTCAGGTCTCCACCGACGATTCATCAGGACGAGACCCGACCGGGACACTAGGGAGGAACGGCTTAAGCGAGGGAGGCTACATATACGACAGCTTCTTGCGGACAAGAAACGAAAATAGATAGATGGTGTGTGTTTCATTTGCTATGCCTTTTGGCGTGCACATTATGTTTGTTATGTTTTTTTAGATTCCTGCAGAGTTCGGTTTCAACTATTGTAAAATACCGAGCATGCGCCCAGGTCGCAGAAGCGCCTACCCTCTGATTCGGAACGATCCGCAAATAAGCAAAGGGCATACCAGACACCCATCCACCTGTTTTGAGCCATGCTCAAAATATTGAAAGATCACATCAAGCGTCAGGTGATGTGGCGCCTTTGCCACAATAGCGCCAGTCGCAGGGCTGACAGATCCGTGACTGGCGCAAGCCATGGCATGGCCTTTGGGAACCAGGGAATTGAGATTAAAGAAGTAGCGCAGAAATTGGAGGCGAGTGGTGAAGGTGAGCAGAGTTAACAGAAAACAAGGATGAAGGGAGTTCCGTCGCATGAGGCATCTGTGTCCCGTGCATGTAATTTTGAGTGTGCTGTAGGTGCCTACCCAAAAAAATTGTTACTTGGACGTAACTAATCGCAAACCTCTCTTGCAGTTTCCATGGCCCACAAGCCAGCCGGCGCCAGTTCGTTCTCGTTCAAAGGTGAGGATTCTAGATTTTCTAGATTGCTCTGAAGCAGCAATACTGAAGCCAGAGAAGCGGTACGGCATATTTAATTGACAGAACAACTGGGGACGCTTTCACTGAAGCTTGTTTTGCTGCAATACACGTGTGTATTGCAGCAAAACAAGCTTCAGTGAAAGCGTCCCTACTCGTTCTGAGCTCCGTCAATTAAAGGTGCCGTACCTGTTGTCTGTCTGGCTTCAGTGTTGCTGTAGGCGACAAAACGTGTGCCCAGTTTTGTCACAAGAGGCATATTATGTCACGCACATGTAATTTTGAATTTATCGGGCTTAGTGTGCTGTAGGTGGCTGGTCAAAGAAATTGATACTTGGACGCAGCTAATCGCAAATCTTTCTGGCAGTTTCCACAGCCTAAGAGCCAGCAGGTCCCAGTTTGCTTTTCTTCAAAGGTGAGAATTCCAGATTCCCGAAGGAGGAATACTGAAGCCATATGACCGGTACAGCATTTTTAATTGACGGAAGCTTATTTTTCTGTAATACAAGCGGGCGACATTGACACGTGCCCAGTTACGTCGCAAGAGGATATCTATGTCCCGCACATGTAATTTTGAATCTTTCAGACTTAGTGTACTTTACGTGGCTACTCAAAGTAACTGCTACTTGGACGCAACTAACCGCAAATCTCTCTTCCAGTTTCCACGGCCTACAAGCAAGCAAGCACCAGTTCGTTTTTCCTCAAAGGTGAGCATTCCAGATACTCTAGTTAGGTGCGAAGCAGGAATAGTGAAGCCAGAAGAGAGGATACGTATACTTAATTGACTGAGCTCAGAATGACCTGTGGCAGTGGCATTGAAGCTTATTTTTCCACAATCAAACGCAGACATAATTTTGAATCTACCCGCTTGGTGAAGGATTGCTACTTGTCGCGAACTAATCACAAATTTTTATTTTGCAGTTTCTATATAACTACAGCTAGCAGGTGCTGTTTTCATTAAGGTGAGGATTTCACATTCTGTTTTCAAACATCAAGTTTTTGAATGAGAGTCCTAAACAATTAACTTTCTTTTGCAGTAAATGCCAGATCCTCCAGTTCAGGAATATGTTAAATATATTTGGTATGGATAAGTCCAGTGTTTTGCTTCTTTATTCACAATTTCACAACAGCAACATTTTTTTAATTTATCACTCAGAAATACACACAAGAAGAGACTGCGTTGCAGAGAAATGTTGCGCTGAACGTGATATTCCAACTCGTAAATAGTTTTATTGGTAGCCAATATAATATATTGGATTCCAATATCCATAATACGCTGAGTATATTGGAATCGTAAACCCTTATTGGATCCCCATACGACACATGAGGATCCAATAAGGGTTTATACGGTATTGGATTCCAATATTTTCAGCGTATTATGGATATTGGAATCCCATAACAAATCCTTATTGTAATACAATACAATAAATGTAATGTTTTCCAATACACTGTCTATATTTTTATTTATTTTATTTATTTGGAAATACTGTCGGCCCTCACTTGAGGGTCATTACAGGGAGAATTTTATAACAATACAATTACATACACAAAAAAGCCGCGGAATTTGTATTGCAATCTAAAAAAAGATATTGTTTACCAATATCCATAATACGCTGTTTATATTGGGGTTTTCCAATAGGGAAGGGTTAAATATTTTTATTGACGAAGGAAAAAAAAAAACTAGAGCAGCGTGCAGTTTCTGACGTGTATTGTCTTGTGCTTAGGTGATGGGGGCAGTGGCATAGGAAAAGGGGGGGGGGGGGGGGGGGCTGCAGGAAAATCAGTCATTTCCAGTAAGCAATATTATTAAAAAAAAGAACCCCCCTTTCCTATGCCACTGCCCCCCATGACCTCAGCACAAGACTATACACATCTTCTGAACATTTTCAACACTACTAGATGAGGGAATGCTTGAAAAGTCCCTGGCATGGGCGTACCAACCGGGGGGGGGCAAGGAATGTGTTTTGCAGCCCCCCCCCCCCCGCCCCCCCCCGCCCCCCCCCCTCCCCCCCCCCCCCTTAAACAGCCGCCACTGGGCAGGGCAAACACTGGCCGGCGGCGTCGAAGAGATACCAAGGGCACCGCCCCCCCAGCTCGAAGGGGAGGGTGTCGTTTGCCCCCTCACTCAAAAACAAGTTGGTACGCCACTGGTCCCCAACCATTTGTTACTGTAGATTTTTTTCTTTTTTAATAAAAAGAAAAAAATTTTTAAAACAGTAGACGATAGATGTCATGGCTGTTTTGGGTGCGGCAGCAGCGGAAGTTTTGAACATCTGTGTGTGTGTGCGTGGGGGGGGGGGGGGGAGCAATTGCATCTTGAAAATTGTTTGCTTGTCGCCCCCCCTCCCCCTTCCTACATTACTGCCCCCACCAGCTAAGCACCACAGAATGTTAATGTGCTGACCATGGCAAAGCTTCCGTTTTCGGAGTGCGAAAAGGGACAGCCGTGCGAGTTTTCATTACGAGCTGTCCACTATACAAGCGAGAGCACCCGCCAGGTGTGCGATTTTTACACTGCAACTTTCTTGAGCATTTTAATCAAATCGTATAACCTATATCTGATATGGGGAACGCTAAAAAAACGAACGAACATCTCAGGATTTACAAGACGTCGATTAATTACCTGCTCGCCTGCACTCTATCACTGCTCACATATAACGTCTTTCCTCAGCCATGTAAAGTATGTGTGCACCCCCGGGTTCTAGAAGTCACGAATATGACCGGGGTAAACTAAAACGCCATTAAGGCAAACAATAATAATCTTCATTAGCTACAGTAGTAGTACTCTGGGTGGCTCGCAAGGCTAGACATATATGCAGGGCCCGTAAGGGAGAAAACTGAATTGACGAGCTTAACAGGGTCCTGTCAACACTTTTAAGCAACTCTAGGCCTGCGCGCCTGAACACCGACGACACGCAGAGCAGGCCGGCGCGGGGCACACGCCGTACGCGAGCGCTACGACGACGCCCAACTTAGAGCGTGTTCTAACAACCCGCTGAAACCCGCTAAACGCCAGCACCCCAATCGCGCCATCCCGCTGGACGCAGCTCAAAAAGCCAGCGCGCGCTGACCGAGATACGCTGTCGCAAGCGTGAGAAAGGACGAGACGACACGTCGAAGTAAAAACCATCCAATTCTTCACGCGTGTCGCCGTCCCGAACACATTCAAGGCGTTCGTTTTAAGATCCGTATCCAAGCGTTTGACAGCACAGCTCAGTTTAGCGCGCCTGGTACTTACAGCGTGTCCGAAGGGCTCGCCGATAGCAACGCGAACTTTCGAAACAATCTGATCAGCGTCTCTGCAGTGCTCTGGTATCGCAGAACACTCACGGGATTCTCAAAATAGCGACTAGCATTTACGCAAGGCTTGAACGAACAGCCTCCACAAGCGATAGCGATCGTTTCCCGAAGGCAGCCAGCATCCCTCAGAACTGCGACGCGACACGAAATCGCGGAGACCGCTCAAGCGTCGAAAAAAGTTAAATATCATCCGAATTACGGTGGCAACGTATGCTACGGTGCTCGGAAGATCATCCAGCACATGTAGATGATACTCTTCGGGCATGCATTATGAATATGAAATCGAGAAAACTTACCTAAACAATCATTTGACCCACGCACGTTGAAGGTTCAAACCACTGATCTCAATGACAATTGCTGGATCGCGCTTGCCGCTCCCGCAAGTGAAGCCACCGGACTTCACTCGCTTGGGATACGATTTGCCGTTTTTGCTAGCCTTTGCTGCGGTTTTCCAGCGTGCTGTGGACACGTTTTCTACTCGTTCGTCGTCATTCGCCGAAGAATTTTTTGAAGACTCTGTGTATTGTTGAGACTTGCCGTCGTGAACACGTGGAAAATTTTACGAAAGTGCAGTGTCGCAGGAAAAAGGTACAACGCGTCGAAAGGAAGGGCTGACGGCGTGTTCAAAGCTTCCTTGGCACGCCGAAGTGCCGTGTCTCTGTGCCTTCGCACGCTTGGATACCGACCAAGAATCGACGCCGTGTGGATGTGTTTTGCGAGTGCAATGTGCGTGAAGCCGTATCAAAAGGTACAACTCGTCGAAAACAAGTGTCGCCGGTGTCGCGGCGTGATCAAAGCTTCCTTGGCACGCCGAGTGATGAATCTTTGTGCCTTCGCACGCTTGGATACCGGTCAAGAATTAACGCCGCGCCAAAGTTCTGAACGTGTGTCGCGCGTAGAAGCCTTTAGATCATTTATATATATCGGCCACGGAGTTCTGGATCGTCCAGCTGTTCCGGTGAGTTGCTATCAATAAAAGGGAGAGATCTGTACGTGTTCTTATGTACTATATTAACCATGGCTATGTCCCAAATCTACTCTAATAGATTCCGTGGGAGCACGAATAGGGCAATGTTGTGGGGCCAGGGGGGTTTTCGAAAGCAAAAGTACAAGGCGGCGAGAATGAAAATCTTTGAAGAGCGGCCGATATGGTCGTGTGCAATCTGCTGACCAATTACAATTAGGCGAGCCGCGCTCAAACGTCAAGTGCAATTAAGTAGGTTGATAATAAGCCAGCACTGATCAGTGGTGAGGAGCTGTTGTGCACGGTATTGTGTAAATCGTCTAAGGACGAAAAAAAGACGTACCTTCCCCCCATCTTCCGTCGCTAGTGGACGCTGGATTAAGCTCGTTCCTAAACCGCGAGGGGAAAAGACGCTGATCCAGAGGCACGAACAGCTTCACGCACATTGCACTCGCTAGACACATACACACGGCGTCGGTTCTTGGTCGGTATCCAAGCGTGCGAAGGCACAGAGACACGGCACTTCGGCGTGCTAAGGAAGCTTTGAACACGCCGCGAGCCCTTCGTTTCGACGCGTTGTGCCTTTTTCCTGCAACACTGCACTTTCGAAAAAATTTTCCACGTGTTCACAACGGCAAGTCTCAACAATATACAGAGTCTTCAAAAAACTTCTGCGGCGAATGACGACGAACGAGTAGAAAACGTGTCTACAGCACGCTGGAAAAAGGCAGCAAAGGCTAGCAAAAACGGCAAATCGTATCCCAAGCGAGTGAAGTCCGGTGGCTTCACTTGCGCTGCAGCGAAAAAGCAGGGAAGCGCGATCCAGCAATTGTCATAATTGTCATAGAGATCAGTGGTTCAAACAGGCCTTTGTCTGCACGGACGGGACGGAAAAGAATCCAGACTCCAGAAGCTGCTTGTGGCTTTGGATTAGACTTCGGATTGGCTGTGGCTTTGGATCGGACAAGTATACGACTGCGGCATATAGTTTCGGTTTCGACCCAACTCTACTGCAGTTTATATTTCGGTGGCCGGTGTCGCTACCGTGGCCAGCCATTACTGGAGTTATCTTGTTCTCTACGCAGTTTGAAGTCAATTTTTTGGGCGCGCAAACATAATGTCCCAGCTTCTTCTCCTCTTATACGTTCCATGATAAGCTTTGTTTGCTGATTGAAATCTACGTCAACTTATGTGCAAAAAAGAAAAAAAAGAAGAGGGTGTTCGACATCTTAATTTACGTTGATTTTTTTATATATGAGGATATGCAATATCTTAATTAATTATTGGATATTTGTTTTGAGTTTTTATGTTTTGCTGAAAAATTATTTGTATATCTATTTTTTTTTTGTTGTCTGAAGTTTTGGTTGAGTTGCGGGGCTCAGTAACAGCAGGTTATTTTGAGATTTTCATACACCAGTGACGTAGGTAGAGGGAAGGCAGGGGGGAGCTGTCAGGGGGGAGCCCTGTTCCTCCTGCCTCTTTTTCATCCTTGTCCCTCCTCCTCCTCCCTCCTCCCCCTTCTCCTCCTCCTCCCTCTCGCTTGGTGCATTGTGGGAGACGTCCCATAATGCAACACGCGCGGCACCGCGGTGCATTATGGCACGTTTCCCATAATGCGCCGCGCGGTTACGCCGACGGCGACGCGTCACGCCGACGCGTTACGGCTACCGTTACGGTCGCCGTCGGCGTAACGCTTTTTCGTTCCGCGACGCAAAGGCGTGACGAAAAAGCGTTACGCGACGCTGACGTGTCACGAAAAAGCGCTACGCCGACGCATCACGAAAAGGCGTTATGCCGACGAGTTACACGACGCCGAGGTGTCACAAACAAGCGTTACGCCGACGCGTCACGAAAAAGTGTTACGCGACGCCGAGGCGTCACGAAAAAGCATCACGCCGACGCGTCACGAAAAAGCGTTATCCGGACGCCTTACGCGACGCCAAGGTGTTACGAAAAAGCGTTACGCGACGCCGACGCCGAGGCGTCCCAAAAAAACGTTATGACGATGCGTTCCACGACGCCTCGGCGTCGCGTAACACGTAGACGTAACGCTTTTTCGTGACGCCTCGGCGTCGCGTAACGTTTCCACGTAACGCTTTTTCGTGACGTGTCGCGTAACGCGTCGGCGCCGCGTAACACTTTTTCGTGACGCGTCGCGTAACACGTCGGCTTAACGCTTTTTTTGTGGCGCGTCACGAAAATGTGTTACGCCGACGCCTTACTGTTAAGCCGACGGCAACGCCGCTCAAGCCAGCAACGAACGCCTAAGAGCAGCGCTCGAAGATGAAAGAAACATCAATCAATTCAGGTTTTAAAGTCTGATGGTTAAGGTTTTATAGGCAAAAATGCTTATGTGTCTAAATATTCCTAGTACATATGGAAGAATCTCGGCGATGTTGCCGCGACTTCGCTGGTGCAGTGCCGTCATTCGGTGGTTGCAAAACAGAGCCCGGCATAGAACTTCATATATTTTCAGCAATATATTTTGGAAGCTGGCAGAAACGGCAAATGTTGCCGTCATTAGGCCGTTATGTAGCCGGGATGCAGCAATATCTTTTGGAAGCTGGCAGAAACGGCCAAAGTTGTCGTCATGTAGCCAGGATGCAGCAATATCTTTTGGAAGCTGGCAGAAACGGCCAATGTTGCCGTCATGTAGCCGGGATGCGGCAATATCTTTTGTAAGCTGGCAGAAACGGCCAATGTTGCCGTCATGTAGCCGGGATGCCGCAATATTGGTTGGACGCTGGCAGAAACGGCCAATGTTGCCGTCATGTAGCCAGTTTAGTGCCGGCATCATGAATGCTGGCTCTAGACTGGTCAAGCTGGGCCAATACGGGGCCACCTTAACCATGCTGAGACCAATGTCGGCGCAATATCTTGTGCTGCCTGGGTGCTCATCAAGTAGCTTGACAATGCTTGATCGAATTACGTTTCTGCTATCAAATTATTGCAGATATAATAATTACGCTCGTCATATCTTGTACATAACGGTAGTCTTTAACGAAGATTATGTTGCATAGTTAGTTTCGGCCGTCAGCAAATAGTGAAAAATATCTATCTACCTATATATATAAATATATGAAGTCAAAAATGCGTAGTGTTGGAGTTACTAATTCGAAGTTTACTACGACGTTTCGAACGGGGACCACTCTTCATCACTTAATGAAGAATGGTCCCCGCTCGAAACGTCGTAATAAACTTCGAATTAGTAACTCCGACAGTACGCATTTTTGACTTTATATATATATATATATATTACTAATACAATGTCTGGACATTTACACTCACCAAGTATCCATTTTCAGCTGTGAATTGAGACTGTGTTGTGCTTATCCCGCTCTTATTTATTTATTTTTTATTTCTCCCGTTTCTGGCCTTTTTAGTATAGGCTTCCACCAGCTCGCTTGCGCGTCAACTCTAATTTCAAGTGAAACAAGTTTGTAAATTAGGGTGCCACTATATAGGTTTGAAATCTTATGCCAATTTTATTGCCATTTGGTGGGCCACGTACGAATTCTGAAATATATGTTTTCATCAAAATAATCGATTAGTAAATCGAATGGCGGTTCGGACTTATTTACTACGACGGGAAGAATGAATTTGCAAATCTCATGGCAATTAGGAAATTTCAGGCATCCTTGGCTTGCGATTGGTCGCGTTCAGTGCGGCTCCCTCCGCACAGAGTAGCCTCGAGTCAGAATTCGCGGAGTCTCTACTGACCGGCCAAAAAAGTGCGGCGCTTCAACTGCTCCCGCCCAGACGACTTGATGTATTTGTATAAGACACCGATGGACATCGGCCGCAATCGTCGATTGAGGTTCCGTTAGCCGACGCAAGCCTCAACGGACGTCTCATATTTCCATACTCTCATTTAGCTACAGAAACAAAACCAACAACAAAAAAAATCATTCAGTCCATGTTCACTATGTTCACCACTGACAAGATAGTCAGTAGTCGACGAGTTTCCGTGCAAATCTCATCAAAACGAGGCACCAGATCAATGTTTACCTCGCTTCCTTTTAAGCACAGACCGCATGGCGCGTTTTTCTGCCCGCAAAAACGCTACGCGGTTTGTACGCTCACGCGGAAGCTGACGCGGGGACACCCGCATGCAGACAAAGCCAAGCACCGCCGGCTGCGCATTATCAGCGTTGCCAGATAACAGAATTCTCAACACGCGCTGTAAATGTTAACGCAGATACTACAAAATGAGAACTAAATGAACAAATAAGTAAATAAAATGGGTTTGTGTGTCAGAAGAAACACTTTTTTTTTAATTTTTCCATGGAAAATAAAAATGTTTTTGAACACCTTGAAATGTGCTGAATACGAAACAGCGTACTGCGCAGTATAACGTGATAGTTCTACCGAC